ACACACACACACACACACACACACACACACACACACACACACACAGTGAGCAATTCATTACAACAGACCATTCTCGGAAACTGTTCAATCTTATATTGGCTAAATGACCTTCGGTTGGAGTTTCCTCAGTTTGTGCAATAATACAATTAAATGCATTTTGTCAATATACTGGATTGAGTTGTACTTGTGTATGTTTTTCACTAAATCTGCTACTGACTCTTACAATAAAGCAGCCATGGCCAGTTTAAGCAAGTAGTTTGACATTTTGCTAATTCGCTTTCCATCGTTGGATTAGAAGATCCACACCACTCTCGTGACTGTCTCCAGCTATCGGCCAGTTAGCTTAGCTTTGCATAAAGACTAAAACACGTGATAACAGCTAGCCTGGCTCTAGCCAAACTAAATCTCAACAATTGTGCCTTCATGTGCGATCGGGCATACACACACACACACACACACACACACACACACACACCCATCCATGTTATCTTACCCCAACATCACTTTGCAGGTTAGATACTTAAAAACATCAGCCTACATGTGTGTAATCAGCAGGACAGAGCAGAGAATCCCTTGCTGTCCTACCTTAGCTTCACTTGGTGTGTTGGTACGAGTAGTTTGTGTGTTCTGCGGGAGACTCCATAGCAACCTGTTGCTGTTGACCACCATTCTCCTAAAAGAAGAGGACAAATCTTCAGAAGAATACTCTACTTGATGGTTAATAATAATGTGTCAATTAAACAGGTTTCTATCAAAGACACAAAGAAGAAGACAGCCTGTATTTTCCCACTGCTCTCCGCACCGTTTCAAAGACATCATACGTCTTTGAGTGGATGAACTAAAGAACATCCAGACTTTACAGGTCTGTTAACTAAAAGCCAGTGCATTCTGCAGGACGCATTTACTAAAAGACATGCTTAACATTGACCCAATTCTACCTTAACACCCGTCACTCTACTCCCCCCCTCTCTTCTCCTCTCCCACTTGATCTCATCCATCCAATCACAGCCAGACTTACTGCTGGGCCTCTTCCCATTCATAAACCTGCCCTTTTTTTTTCTCATTCACCGTCTTGCTCATCCTGTAGGCTCCCACCACTATCACAAGAGCTCCACATTCCAACAAATGAGTCAAGACTTCCTGCAGGCTCAGCAGCCCTCCTGCAGAGCGCTCAGTCAGGAACCTGCTTCAGCACTAAAGCACACAGACTGTGGAGCCAAATGTCTCTATGACATGATTGTGACTCTCAAAGGCTCTTCTAGCTGAATAATGGAGGAGCTAATTAAGATCTATTATTTTGGACAGCACGCTGCTATTTGACAAGAGGAAAATGTTATTAACATTGATAAATTTGTAATTAATAGATTATCATCAATTATTTAAAGAAAAAGTGAGAATGACAAAGATACATTCTTAAAACAATTCAATACAGCAGGTGCAGTGAGAAACTTTCTATAATACAAATATTTGAATAATTAATTCATAAATATTTGAATGTTTTCTGAAAACAGCGTCTTCTATTACAGTAAAGAAAAAAGCAAACACGGGAGTGGCGTGACTCTTCCTCGTACTATTTTTGCTCTTTCATCTAACCAAATTAGAATATGAATAGTTTTTAAACCACATCACTGTCTGTCATCTGAAAAATAAAATCCTATCCTTTAATGCAATATTAGTTTTGTATTCATAGAATACTACCGGAGTCATCAATGCCACTACTCCAGCGTCTATCTGTCATAAAATACAACACACACCTCCAAGGCAAATAGATACTGTCCAGCTCAGTAAATCAGTCAGTTGGCAGATTGAATAGTCACCTCCCCTTCATGTGTGCCTTTACTCTGCCCCTCCTTAAAATGCATACCAATGAGACCTGGCATGCTAAAAGCAGAAGCTTTTTTAAGCACACAGATGTGTCAAGTTTTTGCAAATACGTCCCTATGAGAGTTAAATATTATTCATCCCCTTCATGGAAATATAGAATATAACCATCTGAGGTTGAGGCTAGCTTCATACCTCTACTGGGACACTGGAGGGAGGCACTGGGGTGTACTGGGGGATGTAGGTCCCCTGCATAGTTGTGTTGGCCGGAATATACTGTAGGGAAGGCAGAGAGGAAAACACAAATTGCGTGTGGTATTTGACATGAATAATAAATCTTGTAATTTTCAGGACAGTTAGCTATGGGGACAATGTTCTGCCTTGCGCATCGTGTGTGTGTGTGTGAGAGAGAGAGAGATTGGTACTGACTGTGCCCGTGCTGCCCATGGACAGGTGGCTTAGCTGCTGGGCGAGAGGTCCCATCATGGACGTAGGCTGAATGGACATGGCGTGATCCATTGTTGGGGTAAGAACTGTACCCTATGGATGCATAGAAACACACACAAGAGAGACACAGAGTCTGATTCACTATCACTAATGGAAGGTGTTTAAAATCCATCACAAGTGAGCAAAACATAGGTCAGGACTGTCACTACAGTTTGGCTATAGGGAAAGGTTAACATCTCAACATTTGGCTTGAATTCAATTCAGACCACCTCTCAAGGTCTTGCATGCTTCATGATCTGCTAATGGATAGCTATCCCATCCGCCCAAGGTACATGCAGTGGCTAATTGGGTATATGAGGGGAGGAGATGGTGGTGAAGGAGGTTTACTCACAGCTGGCTGCATGAGGTATGACTGATGGTGCATCCAGGACGGGCTGTGTACCTAAAGATCAGGAAACATGTCATCAGACTCGTTATTGTAATGTAATTTGTAATGAGTTGCTGTTGCATGCACAGTCCCATCAGAGCCCTTATTATGTAAGTTTTCAGAGAGAGATCCTGAAAAAAAATATGATCAGTCCTGTGGGATGTGGTCCTCCCTCAGTGTCTGTGAACTTACATAATGAATAGTGAAAAAAAACATAATGAAATGCCCCACCTGGTAGGATGAGACAGGAGAATGCATGTAGGGTGAGAGAGAAGTCTGGGCGATCATTCGGTTTGGAGCCAGACTGTAGGGTGAGGAGTAGAAGCTGCCGAACAGATGGAGAAAAGGAAAACGCAAACATGAAGACAGCCACACCATGTCAACAATCTCCAGCATTTCTCCAACTACATCAGCAGCATTTCTGTGTTCCTGCAATGCCCAGCAGAAGGCAGCAATTCACTACATTTTGAGTACCACTCTTGGTTTACTGGAGGGTTGGGACTGTTATCAGTCAGTCCACGCATACCACTCACCCATTTTGTAAGGCTGTGGGGTCATACGCAAGCGTCATTCCTCCCTGGGAAAACAATGCAGAGGATTCAGAAACAGTGAGGTCATGCAAACACCGGTGCAGTCTGTGCTAAAACAGTCATCTGGCGCAGAGCGAGAGTGACGCTGTTGCTTTAATTTCCAACAGGAAATGTAACATATGAACACAGGAATTTCCCTTTATGACTGATGAGTTAAAAGTGGACTTCTTACTGTATCTCCATCTCTAGCCCAGGGCCTTCCATTGTGGAGGTATTTCCCCTGGTTCTGCCTCTTCTTCTGACCTCCATCTGCAAACTTACATAATAAGGGCTCCGTGGGCACTGTGGAAGCAACAGATCAAACAAGAGAGTGAGTTCAATGGTCACAAAAACACTGAGCTCTGGCACCAACAACAACAATATCAGGTTCCTTTAACACCAAACAAACATTCCACGCACCAGGCACTCCCGGTGGAGGCTTGATGAATTTGCCATTGAAATGCTGAATTATGGCCTCGCACTTCTCCGTGGATTCCATTCTGAAATACAGTCAAAAGGCAAATTTAATCCTGCTTGTAGAGTGCCGTTTATATTAGGATTGTTTACAGCACAAACTGTACACCACCGTAGGGGAGTGTATTATGTCTGACCTGGCAAAGCCCACACCGCGGCTGGTCCCGTTGGCATCTCGGAGGATGCGTGTGGAAATGACCTGGCCAAAGGACTTGAGCATGCTCTCCAGCTCTTGTTCATCCATAGACACTGGCAGGTTGGAGATGTAGAGGTTGGTGGGGTCCTGCTCTTGTTGCTGTACAGGAAGTGGACGTGAAAGTCAGTTCACATACAGATCTTCTTTGGACTTACACGAAGAGATGTTGTCGTTTGAGATTGTTTTTGTTTCATTGCCAATATTGCTAGTCATACCAATAATTGTTGGTGCAAAAGACATCTAAAACCATTGCTTTATTATTAGCTACTCGTTTACAACTTCACTGCTTTTCAGGCGCGACACATGAGCCCAAAGTACTTCAATTAATAACGTACTTTAACTAACTTTTTTCCTCTTTTTTTTTTTTAAAAGGCGTAATATCTAATTTAGCACAACACTTTCAAACATATTTGCTGATGCAGTTGCATTTGCAAATGGAATTTAAAAAAAAAAAAACACTTTCAAAATCTTTTTCCCATTGCAGAAGTTCCCGTGTAGGCAGTAGTGCGACCTGTCTTTACGTCGCTCTTGGCACATTAATACTTGCACCAAGCTTCATTTTGTAACGGGACCCGGTACGGATAGAATGTTTTTAAGCAATTAGTACCAATCAACTGAAACCTCGGATACTTTGTCACATCTATCATTGCCTCAACTACAGCTGTCTGGTTTTTAAAAATACACACACACACACACACACACACACACACACACACACACACACACACACACACATAAATATACTGACACACGCAAATATGAATTTGTCTGCAAAGATTACGTCAGATATTTGGGAGGAATGTTGCCTAATTAAGAGATCTGGATAGCGGCAAGTAATGAGATAATTCAGAGACTTATTTTGTGGCACTAGCTTGCAAGCGAAACCTTGTGTGACTGTGCAGAAGCAGACAGGAAGTCAGCCATGAAGTTAAGGAGTTCAGAGAGCAACAGGAGCCTGGCAACCGGGAGAAAAGGGGCTGGGCTAAAGGGAGAGGAAGGGAAAACAGAGAGTGAAGGAAGAGGATAGAGCAGAGGGAGGGTGGGAGAAGTGAGGAGCTTAAAAGGCTGATGTTTTGTACAGAAGAAGGGAACTGACAAGATAGGAAGTAGTGGGAGTCTCGAGTAGTTTGGGTAATAAAAGAGGAGGATGACAGAAAAGAGGATACATGAGTGCCTGCTGATTAACAGGCTCTTCTCTTTCATCAAAATATCTTTTATTGCTATCATTTTCCATTTTGTCCCTTCTTCCTAACACTCACTGCTATCAGAGAACTCTGCAAACCAGTTTTTCACTTGTGCATGAAATTAACTGTCAGGCGCAAGTCAACGAGCTTTCTCAAATGAAGATTTACTGCCTTTATGATTAGCCTCCGTCCTCAGCCGTGAGCCACCTGGCAAAGAGATCTGCGATTGTCGTCATTTTGGGTGCGGCAATACGTCCGTTATGTAACACAGTGGCACAGTGCAGGGGGTCAAGGGCCAGATGAAACTAATGGAGTTAAAGGCTGCATGACAGAGGAAGAACTCACTCCCTTTTTATCCTTGTATTTACCCTCAACCTCAGCTAGCACACATGATATCTCATTTCATATCCACGCAAATATTCACATCACCTGTTGTTGATATGAAAATGCTGTTGGACCGAGACCAGGCACATGTGAATGGGATTTGCTAGTGCTATTTTTCTATGCCAAACCCTAGGTAAGCCATGTCTGTTGAGGTGTGTCTCTGTGTATTTTCCTGCTTGTATGTTGTGCTGACGTCTGAGTTGGAACAGGGAGGTGCTGGGAAATAAGAAGCGATCTATTTATAACTCTGCCATGGTTCTCCTACCCCGTGTGCACTCCTCTGGGCCTGCAGCCTCAGGGCTGGGGTGGCCCATTCGGGGACTGAGCATACTCTGAGGACGGCCAGTGCGAGGTGTGGCTGATTCTGTTTGTGAACAACACTCTGCAGCAGCCATGGTGAGGGTGCAAACAGGAGAAACTGCACTTGAGAGTTTGATATTAAGCTAATTTTAGACTAAATTCTTGTTTTTTTCTGACCTAATGTGACTCAGTGACTCTGAAGCAGCTGTGTATATTTAGGTTTTTATAGTAGTTATCAACACCTCTGACTGAGGCCATGTTGTCTGGGTGAGTCAAGTCTTGGTGTCCAGTTGCACAGGTCGGGTAGAGATACACAGGATTGTGTGGCACTCTTACAGAGGAGGTGCAGAGAACTTAGACTCCGGGTTTAGTTGCACTGGACCGGCTCAGGTCAGCTGGCAGCAGGGATCTGTTACAGTTCTCCGGGGCTAGGCTTAGGGAGACCCTGGTGTTACATTGCAGTGGGTCTGTTTGGGTGCAGGACAGGGGAGGAGGGCAGGGACACTGGTGGTGGAGTGTATTAAGTGCTGGTGTCAGCCCCAGGCCTAGGCCCAGACGATGGACAATGCCAGCCCATTGTGCCTGTCCCATTGACAGTGGGTGTAGTGGCACCCTCCCCTGGGTTCCCTCAATAGGGAGCCTGAGAGCCAGAGGGATCAGCTTAATGGGCCGACAAGAGTTGCTTTGACTGCAGACACTTGGACAAAGACCTCAGAACAAGCGCTACAACGGGAGCAGGTTAGCAACATACACAGGGACGAGGGTGCGAGGGGAGAAGAGAGAAAAGGTGGCGAGGAGGGCGATGAAGGAGGGCGAGGACGAAAGAGGAGAAGAAATTAGGGATGAAAGGGAAGGCAGTAAAGGATTAACAAAGCAGCAAGAGTAGTGAAATAACAGAAACTGAAAAAGGGAGTAATTTTGAGTTTAACAAAAGTAGTCTTCAATCAAGCCAGACCTTATCCTTCCATCAACTGTCGATTATTGGCACAGGATCACACGGCTCCCTATAAAGAGCTAATCTTGCACCTTTGCCAACAGGGCACCCACTGCCAATCTGGCCACTGCATGTAACCTTTTACATGACAGAGAGGGAGAAAGAGACTATGACTCTCGTTGGTCAAAGTACAGCACGTGGCTCTTTGGAAATCAATACAGTTCTGAGAAGCGCCTGACTAGTTTAACCTGATGGCGATGGGTGAATTTGGGGGTCAAATACGAACGTAACAGAGCTCGATAATTCTTACTTTGGCCATCTGAGCCTGGACTCCGCTGGACTTCAGAGCTGTAACAGCTTTCTGTGCTGCTGCTGGACTGTCAAAGTCCACAAAGCCATATCCTGTAAAATAGACAAAAACATATTAAAATAGCTGTTTTGTTTTGGAATTCTGTGCTCCATACCACTCTCATATATGTCTATTAAATATGAAGCTAAAGCCAGACAACAGTTAGCTTGGGGTTAACAGCCGACTCTGTCCAAAGATTTTTGTACGGTTTAAACAAACTCAATATCACATGTTAATGTGAGAGCTTTTGAGGTGCTGGTGGGAGGATTTTTTGTAACTTTTGACGGAGCTAGGTTAGCTGTTTTGCCTCGTTACCAGTTTTGGAGCTAAACTAAGCTAACCTTTGCGGGCTGTAGCTTCATAGTTTGCATCATATATGAGAAAACAATCTTCTCATCAAGAAAGTGATTAAGTGCATTTGTCAAAATGTTGAAATACTCCTTTAATAACCAAACATCCCAAACCACGGGGATAAGGGATGGCATCTCAACTCTCAATCAAAAAATAGTTAAAACGACAGTTTAACTCACCTTTACATTTGTTGGTGGTTTTATCCAAGATGGCCTTGGTCGACACAATCTTGCCATACCTGCAGAGATGACAGACAGGACGACAGACAGAAAACAGGGTCAATGACAGGTGAGGTAAATGAAGGGCAACAGGAGGAATCTGCTCCTTCCTCTGCATACTAATCCTACCACACTTCCTCAAGCTGACAGACTACAGGTGTTAACATGAACACGTACTCCTTCGTGCAATCGATTGTGTCTTTTTAACGCGATCTTGAGTGTCACGGAATACTTTGTCTGCCTCCGCCCTTCTGTCTTTGTCCGCTGCTGGTGAAGGATGTACACTAACCTGGCGCTGTTTTCGACAGACAGCAGACAGCAGACAGCAGACAGCACCCTGGGGCTAAAGAATATTTGGGCTGGGCTTGTCTGTACCACACACCCCCCCCCCCCCACACACACACACACACACACACACACAAACACCTCTCTACTAAATTCAGCTCTGCTCTCGCTTATTTTGGGCTCAAATTAGGCTTTAAAGTGTTGTCACTAGCAATGTCTGACTCGCAAATAGAAATATTGACTTTCAATAGAACAGAATGTATGCGTGATCCATTTAACACACAGAAGAAATCAAAAGAGTGTATGAGACATCAGCCAGTGTCTTAACCTGTTATTTCGGTCCACGGGTGTCAATAGAAAAACATGACAAAGGCCGATCAGTAAAAGAGGAGTTTAAATTAAAGCATTGATGCAGTAGCATGAGACATCCATCCTATATGAAAAAAGCAGTGTATGAGAAGTGCTCATAAGAGACTAATGCAGTGTTATAAGTGGCTGCATCAGCTCTCCAGTATAATAGACCTGCCCTTGTCTGGTGAATTTAGCCAGTGAGTTGCTCTGTTTGGGCGACATGGCGTCTGGGCGGAATGTACACTGTAACCTGATGCTCCACCCGTCCGCTCGCCTTCCTTCCCCCCACATCCTGCTCCCTCTCTCTGTTTTTCCACCCTCACATTGCAGCGCACCGCTGGGTCCTACACTCCCGCCTAGTTTTTCAGTGTACATCTGCCCAGATGGTCATGGCAGAAACCTGTGTAACGACTGACACCGGAGTCTTAACTATAACAGCTAAAATGTTGAGGCCTTGTCTCCTCCAGGTCTGTGAAATGTACATATACATTCAGACCATGCATGTTTTTGGGAAAGAAAAACAGTAGCAGATGTATATGTGAACAGCAATCTCGATATCAGCTTTAACAAAACGCCACAGCTGGATTTGTGCATTAATCATTTGTAGGAAGTTAGCATTGGGGTATTTACTGAGCTATTCTATATCGTAGAACAGAAAGTTAAAACCACAGACTTTTAACCAAAAACCCATGAAAAAATAAATAAATATAAAGACAAGGAAAGCGGAAGTGCAAAACTAATTTCCATGTTTTCGGACTCATTCCTGCAGCCCTCAATTACCATCAGGACAGATACATTAAAAAGAACAAAAATTAATCCGCTGCCACATAGCCAGATGACCTTTCCATAAGCTATGTTTATAGTTTCCCACTCCCTTATAAACAAGCTTCATGTAATTTAACCCATTCAAGCCCAACTGAAATCTTACATATCCCTGAGCTTCTTGAGCATGTAGAAACATGCACACACAGTGTACTGTTTATTGTTGAAAAACTGTAAAGAATGACAAAATACATTCCTCTTCACTGCTATGAGGCATACATTATGTGAAACTGACTTGCACAACTTTGCTAGCAGTGCATTTCAGGAATAATCTCTTTTAAGTGATATTAAGCCTCAGAACGCACTCATTTGAAAGATCTTGTATTGTACACACACAAATATTTTTCTCTCTTTTTAGAGACACTGTTCCTTCAAGACCTGTCACTTAATATACTTTGATGAGAAAATTGGCAGAATATTAAAAAATGAAGGGACCACCTTGGTAGCCTAGTGGTTACATCACATGGCATATACGCGCAACGTCCCCGTTTCAATTCTGGCCGTGGGACCTTTTTCGCATGTGTTGCTCTTCCCCCATTTATATGCCTTCCTATGTTAAATAAAGGCACAAATATGATACAATAGATCTTCTTTAGAAAAAAAGAAACAAAGAACTGCAGAGCACAAACAAACGTTTGGTTGGTTGTTGACGATATACACAAACAATACATACACTACGAATGCAACTCAAAATATTTTAGTTGAATATATCTCATGGTTATTTTATGATTTTTTGTTTATTCCTTTGTCCAATAATCAAAATATCAATAAATGTTTGGAAAGAAAATATATATCGTCAAAAAACAAAGAAATGTATGTCTCAATTTAAGCTCATACCTTCAGATTGAAAAACACTGAAGTCCTATTGATCAGTTTGACTGATTAGAAGCGTGACAAAGAAAAACAGAAGCTGTGTTTCATGATTCACCCAATCGAGACACCGGGAGAGTTCACAGGTCTGATGGCAGCGACTACGTGACCTTCCGCTTACCTCAGTCCCTCTGCAGCAGAACAGCAGCCCACCACAGAGACTTAAAAGACAACTCTGACCCATATATGGCTGTCTGACATTCTTTCCCAGCAGGCCGTGCTACTCTTCCCAGAGGTAGCCCTCCCACCCGCCCTGAAAGCCTCCGTCCTCTCTCATCTTCTCTCTCAGCCCCACAATGACTCCTCTGTCAGTCCCCTGCTTTTACTCTTGAATCGCTGAGGTTCACATACCAACCGTAAAGTTCAGATTTTCTTTGATTGTTCCTGCTTTGACAATGTTTGTGTATACTCAAATATTATCAGATGCGAGCTGTGTACATTTGCGCGGTGGATTTGATGTCTCTGTGGCTTCCTTGTGTCGGGTCAGAGTCGCTAAACTGGAGAATGATGCAAAAAAACCTCAGAGAGAGGGGCTGTGGTGTTTGTTCTCGTGCTTGTTTAGGGAGGCGTGTTGTTACTGTGAATGACCCGTGGAGATGTATGGCTAAAGTTCACAAATCCCTTCTGTGACATACAGCACAGCCCTGACCTGCGGCAGGCCAAACCAGTTTGTTTGCTTTATTGCTAGTTTTATCAGAGTGTGCGCATGTGGGCCGACATATATAGAGGGTTGACCGTTTGTCTCGGGGTAAGTAAGTCTGAGTTCACTGCTGTGGAGCCGATTCAGCCTGAAAGGTTAGATCAGGACAAGCTGTACCCTTCTCTGGCCCCTTCCTTCCTTCTTTACCCCGTCCTGTCCTTCTCCCAACTCTCTGCATTCGTTCCCTCTTTCCTCTAATTCCCTCTAAGGCTCTACCATTTTGCTGTCAATTTCTAGTGTTTCCTGGGAATGTTAGGATTTAATCAAACGGACTTCAGTTGTGGTAATTCAGCATCCTTATACAGAAATCACTTTTCCTTCCTTCCTGACGAAACGGCTCCTTTTTCTGAACATCAAATTCTGTCCTTAAACAATTTAATTTCATGTGTCCAACAGATGAAGAGTATGCTCCAGACAGCACAGATGTTATCTGCTCGCAAGAGGTCAAGTTACTACATGACTCTTTCTACAATTTAGCATCAAAGATAACTTGTTCTAGTTAAGCTGGACTAAAAAGTACTACCTGTTATAGTCAGACTTTACTCAGACAATAATATGGGATAATAACTTACAGTGGCTCAACCTGCAGTGTGTAAAATACGCTGTGTGATCTTAACGTTTCACTGCGTCAAGTTGCGCTGCATGACGTTGCGCTGCGTGACGACTCATGACTCACTCCCAACCCGGAGGGAGCAATCCCCCATTTTCCAGCAGAGAACCATGGCCTCAGACTTGGAGGTACTGACTTCAAGCATAACGAGGTTCCAGTCTTTATGCTAAGATAATTGTCTCCTGGCTCTATCTTCATGCACAGACATGAGAGCGACACAGATTTTCTTATATAACTCTCTGCAAGAGAGCAAATAAGTGTATTTCCCAAAATGTTCCACTAATCATTTCTAAATTAGACTCATGATGCGGAATTCTTGAGGCTCAATCCGCATAATAAAACACGTTTGTGTGACATTACCTCCTTTCCAATTTCCAATTTTTATTAAAAATAACTCACGGTTGGCAGAGCTTGACCAGGTCTTGGTCCGTGGTCCCAGGATGAAGGCCGCGGATGTACAGGTTCGTTTTACTCAGCTGTTCCCCTCCCACACTGCTGTTGCTGCTACTGTTGTTGTTGGGACTTGGGGGCGCCATCTGATGGCTGGAGGACACATAAGTCTGCAGCAATAAGAAAGAAGCCAAATTAGTTGACCGTGCGTGAACACACAAAAGAAGTCATTGTGAAAATACATTAAATTCTTTAACACCAACATTCGGACAAGCACAGCATTGGAAAAGCGTGAAAACTCAAAGGAGCGTTTAGACATTTAGAGACATGGAAAGTAGTCCTGCGCCGAGACTGATGGTTTTGTGGAAGCTGCGAAAAATAATGTCGTACAGCCCTCATGTCAACACTCACCAAAAGTGCTTTCTGAGGGGAATGTGGGGCCTACTCCATATAGTGAAAAGAGGCCCCTTATGCTATCTCTGCGTTGAGTAACTCCTTTTTTACTTTTGGAACCACAAACAAAATCTTGCGGTGCAAATCAAAACCAAAGCTCTAAAGATGTAAAACTAACATTTAGTCAGTCTGATGATGCATAATTAAATATAGAGACTAAATGTGAGCAAGTTTTATACTCCAGCTGCTGCTCTCATATTATTTTACTTGTAAAAACAGGTATTTATAAATTCATTTGATCAAGCTTGAATTTCAAATCGTCCTTAACGCAGAGGAAGGTTCAATACTGTCCTTCTGACATTTCCCTCTCAAACAGTATCTGAGGTTATCAGCAAACAAGATCATGAGTAGCACAATGGAAAAACAGGGGTCAGTTCAGTCCACATAACATACAAAGTCCATTGATCAAAACAAGGAGAAATTCAAAGAGACGTGTGACAAAAAGCAAACCAGGACTTTGTTACTATGACAATACATAGTAACATGCTCATGTTGCGGCCATCCGTCATGATCTGATATAAACCTCTACTACAGAAACTTCTTCTTATTTTCTATTTCAGGTTGTTTAGTTTTCAGCAGTCCACAAGGACTTAGCGCCGGTGAGTACTAGTCGTAAACTATGGCAGTCAACTAATCAATGACTCACCGCTAGGAACATGAAAGGCTGTTGCGCAACAACCTCCTCTCACGATTGGGATTGTGGCTCTGTTTGGAGAAATCAAAGAAAAGGTTGTGTAACCATGCAGAGGAATATTTTCTTTTAATGGGATAAATTAAAATTAATCTTTCCAGAATTAGATCTACTGGCTGTTTTCCAAAACAAAAAGGACTGAGGCAATAAATAGCAACACTTGAGTGCAGCTCAGGCTTGCCAGAACTTGACTTGAATCACAATAACCTAACGTTTTCATTCAGTGTTGCACATGAATTAATAAGAATAAATATATCTGCATAGACGTGAGGACGGAAGAACGTCTCATTTGAGAGAGCGATTGGACGGAGGACAGAAGAGGACAATGGGTTCATTTCAGGGGAGAGGAGAGGGCCACTGAGCAGACTGGTGGTGTTTAGGAAAGGCCCCACAGGAAGTCAAGGTCACACCAGGACCACCAGCAACGTCAACCAATCCCGCTAATTAGACGCCATCTATAAGGCAGGGAGCCCCTCTCGCACAGCCCCTCTGACCTCCAGCAGCCGCTTCAACAAGAGGCTCTCTGAAGATAATCCCCTCTTCCTCTATTGCTCAAGAAACCACAAAAGTTTGCATGTGTTTGTTTGTGTTAAGTAAGATGGAGACACCTTGAGGAGAGGATATATATACAGTATATGTGTGCGTGTGTGTATATACATGATGGTAATGGTTGGATGGATGGTTGGAAACACAACAAACATAGAAATCAACCTATTTTATGACTGCATTATCTTGTACAAATGTTTCTTCTATCGTGTCAGTTGTCCTGTAAATTTGAATGATAAATAAGGCGCCATCTCTGTCCGACTAGAACATGTTCAGGGCCAGTGGGAAACATAAACACTGCACAAGCCTATCAATAAGAGTTGATCTATCTTGTCGTATGAGTACATTTTTGGAGGAAGCTCATTTGTGAATGAAAGAGCAGTCAGCAGGGACCTGTAATCTCTTTCACACTCTTTTACCAGAGTGCCAAGTCCCAATCAAGCTCCAGACTGTACCAGGAGGACATCATTGCAACATAACCCCTTAAATCACCAGTCTGCAACCACACACACACACACACACACACACACACACACACACACACAAACTAAGCACAACACATTCATGCATACACACGATTGCTTGATTGATCTGCATAATATCTTAAGTAAAATATATAATGTATGACCTTTAAACTGCTTACGAAATATAATCATAAACATCCCAAACTGGACTAACCAAGTAAAAAGATGTGAAACGGCCCTGCTGGTGTGTTATTACATGTCAGGCTTCAGTGTCCTTATGCATTTGATCTGCATGTGCCACACCAAGTTTTTTTGGATTAGCAGATCAGTAGTTGCTGAGAGATCAACAAGAGCTTCGAAACAAAGAAGTCAAGTATCTAATCTAGGACTGCAATAAACTAAGTTCCCACCTCTGGGAAATTATGAGGGGCCAAGGTGATGTCTTCAAATTGATCGTTTGGTCCGAGCAACAGTCCAAAATATAAAAAGATATTAAATTTACAGCGACAGAAACCACAGAGCAGCAAATCCTCACATTCGACAAAATACAAACAGTGAATGTTTGGCATCTTTGCTTAATAAATGACTTATTGTATGATTAACCACTAATGATTTAAAGCACTAATCATTGGAGCCTATTTACCAGATGTGTAGATCATTAATCAAACATTCCCTAACCTCAGAAATCTGTCTTAGCCAACTTCATCAAACTAAAAAGAATAAATCAAATGAGTTCCATTAATTCTATATTCTAATGACAACTGATTAAAAAAGGACTTTCTAATATTAATCGACAGTCAAAGTATTACAATCAGGTATTTCCTACCACTGGCCCATTAGAAACCTGGAGAGACAATATAAGGGTTTTGATGGATGTGTCATTTTCCTCCTCTGCTGAACCGCTCCAACTTCATAACAAAAGGCTAAATAGAATCTGAGTGGATATTTTTAGGACCAAACTTAAGATAGAAATCAGGAACACTTCTATAAATAAAACCATTTCCTCTACCTTGATGTAAACTTGCATCAATAATCTGAAGCTGCCAGGAAGTGTCTTTCTCAATTACAGCATGTTGTGTTTTGATCTCTCAATACATCAAAAATGTGTTATAATCTTGTGTTAAAAGTTCAAATAAGCTATCAAGAGTAAGTCATTCACACGACCACTTTAAGCGCCTGCTACTGTATCTCTGCACAAATCTGTTTCGCTGTCCAACCCTCTTTTGAGTCTCACTCCACCTCTGTTTTCATCTCCCTCTCTCCCTGTGGGGGCTTCTCCAGCCGACCCCAGTTTGAACCACAGCATTCCATTGATTTCCTGGATGTTGGGGGGTCTGCTTGCCTTCCCGTGTCCTGGCTGCCCGTCTTCTCCTCAGGCAGGAAAAGAGCCATGGCTGTCTGACCAGCTGACGTACTAATGCACAGATTTATAGCCCTGGCTGAATGAGGGCGCAGCTTCCGGCTTGGATGGAGTTACGACGCTGAGCTGCCGCTTTGCACCGGCTCCACTTTAGGACTGACAAGGAAAATGAGTCATGGGGAAAAACAGTTTGACGCTTTAAAATCTTCACTTCTGAAGCGTCGACAAACATTTTGCAAAAGCTTTTTGAATTCTAAAACCACAGCCTTTCCTGTTTGCCATATTGATAAAAAATAATACGGAAAACATAATATTAAAACAACGTACTTATCATACTACTAGATATTTTATGGAAAAATGGGAAAAAGTCTTTTTACATTAGGCCGAGGGTTAGGTGAGGACTGTGTGTCTAGCAAAGCGGTAAGCTGCGGTACGGCAGCAGGCAGGTAATCCTCTGTATCTGCTCCTGATCTTATCACACAGCCATCTGAATGAGGAGCTCTGCATTCCAACCAGGTGACAGGGACACCCAACTCACGTCCAGACTCGTTCCCCAATCCTCCTTCCTATCCGTCGCCAACACTCCCCCTTCCTTTTGTCTTTTTATAGGCACCTTTTAAATCCTCGAACTGTCTGTCTCTTAAAGTTGCCGATCACACGTTGATGCACATGCACAGCGCAAATTACCCATGCGTGCCCCGGCTTTTCAAGCTATAGGTCAGGTGGCCAAAGCCGTGGAGCTTGGAAACAGATACCTACAAACAGTGTCCCCTCAGCTCAGCTAGAGTTCTAACAAACTGTGAGGCACAACGAGTGTCTGGCATCACTGCAGTACTTGGCATCAGATTTCTGACAGCTGTGCTTTCTCCAAGGACTCTGACTCTCTATCTCTCGCTCTACCTGTTCACCTTGGCCGGTGCAGGCCGACACATTAAACGAAGAGACAGATAAACATATAACTGGCGGAGGGCCAGAAGGACAAAGGTGACTGTATAGGAGAGTTTACTGAGGACAGAGTCACTGCAGCAGAACAGCTGGTGTAATACACACAAACGAAAGAAAGTAGCCCTGTAGACAGCAACTTGTGTGTGTTATGTATTTCCTGTTGTTGCGTTGGATGCAATTATGAGTTCATCATTTTTTTAAATCTTGGCACGGATCCTTTAAATGTTTTTTTTTGGATTATTGTGAGCAAGAAACCTCCTGAATGGGACACATTACAGCCTAAAATCATCTCGTCTGTGCTCTCTGGTGGACGTAATGGAGACACTGTTTCTAAATGACCGCAGACATATCGTTGACATTTCTGTATCGCATCTTCTTCTTACTTATCGACCGACATTTCCTTAAGATTCAACTCTATTGTCCGAACTCTAAAGGTCATTTGAGGGGTTAAGATCTTACCTGCAGGGTTGCATGTTATCTGTTACTGCTGGCAGTCTCGCTGCTGTTTGATGCAAACAGCTGCCGGCTGATGCTGGAAATAGGACGAACGAGAGCCGTGAGACTCAACCGTGCTAGAAGTGCACCGCACTGCAAAACCGATAAAGTGACTAAAACGTGTTTTCAAAGCAAGGAAAATTCACATGCGTGCGCCATTTGATTCAATGTTAATAATAATTGATTGATCACGCCTTAAGGATTCATGGTGGAACTTAAAAGTGACAGAATATCCGTCTTTAACATTTAACTTTTAACGCAGCATTGATCTGAACCCTAATGAATTGAAACACACACGTTATTCAAAATAAACTGTTCTTTATTCTCCTATTATTTTTATCCCATTTGTTGCAGATGTCATGTTAAATATTGCTCAGGATTTAGCCAACAGTCATTTCATTTGCTTAACCTGTGTTCAAGTTAAAAGTGAATTAAATGTTAATAAAAAAAAGGAAAATGGCTACACCACTAGCACTCACTTCATTTCTATATTACTGTTTATCACAATGAAATATGATTCAAAAGTCTAAATTCTTCACGCTAAATTTTTATTTAAGTTAACCAAACAATAGGAAAAGATTTATGAATAAATGCAGTGTCACTGTAGGTTGCTTGTGTAGTTAAAATGCTCTTGGCCCCAGTGTTGAGAGCAGAGTGATTCATCGCTGTCAGCTCCAAATAAACCCTTGTGATTGGACAGTTTACATGTGAACATTAAAGTGCATGAATTGATTTACCAAAGCATTTTGTAATTTCTTAGTAAAATTATGCTGGACTCTATTTATCATAATCAAGTTGTTTATGAGATTACAAGGTAAAAAAAAAAACCCACAGTTCCTAAATGTTTTACCTGTATGTCAATGTGTTTTTAAAAAGCCTTTTTTGTTTGGAAGCATTTTCTAAATTAAATAAATTCCACTGCTGCCGCACATAGCAGTCAAACTCTGACGGACAAATTCACAAAGAATGGAATGCGGCCGCTGATAGCACCATCAATTGCGCATCACTTGCAACGGATATATCTGCCCGTGTCTTAAGGTCCGCTTCCCAAAATATATTGGACGGTGTGGGCGTGACACCCTTTATCAATGCGCTTCAGTTACCAATGTCAATAAAGTTAAGAATACTCAGCATTGGCAGGACATCGGAAACAGCTTGTGGAGTTGAAAGTGTGAAATCACTGATTTCTGCCATGTTGAACTGGCCTTTTTAGTGAAACCCTTCACACCCGTCGGACAATTTAATGCTCCAGTTGATGCGTTTCTTTCTATTCTTTTTTTATATCTAGTTGTGTTTTGATCCAATAGAGTATATGTGTTGAAGCATCGAGATCTATAAATCCCAGCAGTAAGTTGACATTGAAAAGGACCATGAGAACAAAAGTCTGATTGACGAGTATAAGAAACAAGCCATTGGATGAGCCCTTGAGCCAGACGTGCGATACCTTGAGGAGCGACAAGCCTCCTGTTATTTTGCCCTCCAGGAAGCTTTACACGGAGACCGACCAAATTCGATTTGAGGACATTAATTCTATTTATTTGAGGGAGGAAATGAGGTGGTGAGTCAGGGGAGGAGCAGCCGGCTTTAAGCACAACAGAAACCAAAACGCCTCAGCAATCACGGCGCGTACACCCATCGGCGTGTTTATTTTGTGCTCGGCTTCTTATTTTGTGTACTCGTGCAGCTCAGGTATGGCTGAATGTGAGCAAGAGATAAAGAGAATGAGGAGGAGGAGGAGGAGTGGGAGGAGGAAATGTTAGGAATCACAACACAGGAACTTGACCTCGCTGTGAACTTTAGCTCCACAAAATAGAGAAGCACTAAAACAGCTGGAGGAGCAATTTTACATTCGTTATTTCGGGTCCTTTTTTCCTGCTTCATTTGTATGTAGTGCATGTTCATAACATGTATAGTCAGGTCAAGTATTTCCTTTCTTATATAACCCAAATTCACAAATTTCCTTGAAAGTGCATCATCAGTCTTCTCGTCTAACTCGCAGCAAGAAAGCAAATAAATGTATTTTCCAAAATGTCAAACTTTTCTTTTAACTCACCCAACTTCTGAAATAAAAACCAGTGAGTGGCCCTATAGGCTTATCGGGCAGCAACTAACAGTTGTGGTCATTATTGAGTCATCTGCTGATTATTTTCTTGATTATTCAATTAATCGTTTAGTCTACGAAATATTAAAAGTAGTTTCAAAAAGCGTGCATCACAAACTCCCAAAGCCCGAAGTGGGGTCTTCAGATTGCTTGTCTGGCCATCATTCCAAAACACAAAGATATATTTACGATCATCTACAACAAAGGAAAGCAAGAAATCCGTACATTTAACAAGCTGGAACGAGCTTATCTTTGGCATTATCAAAATAGTGCAGAATGCTATTTTTTAATCGACTAATGGATTTATCGCCTAAACTTTGCAGCTCTAACACTTATAAAAACGTGGATGATATTGGGAGAGGCGTTGATGCTTAAAATGAGGACAGCTCATTTAACACTTAATAATTTAAGACACGGCCTATATTGAACGGTTACCTGGACAATGGCCACTTTATCTATACTATACATGTATAGAACATATAGTCAGAAACAACAGGGACCAATTCAAAAGAACGAAACCGCAAGTACTGACACTTAAAAGACGGCACTCCTGATCGCTCATACAGTGCACTTCCTTTTACAAAGTGACATTTAGCAGATTATCGGTCCCTCATCAGCTAAAATGGCTTTCTCTGATCGTTTAAGGAAGGATTTGTTTGTCAAATAGTCTCCTCATGGCAACATAATGAGGAACTGCACATAAATGTATATTCACTCAAAAATGCAATGAGAGTTCATTCAAATGAATTGCAAATGGTGTGTGTGCGCAAGTAAGTGTAAAACAAACAATTCAAACTGTTTTCCCCAGACTGGCACCGGTGTTGACATCAGATCTGGGAGGGATGAGCAGCCAGGCGGTGCCCCAAGATCACAGAAAGACAATATGTCAATATACTTTTTCCAAATGCCAATTAAGAGTTCAGGAGCTCACAGCCTCCCAGATTGAGAGAAGCAGCCCGAGCAGAAGGACAGGAGGAGCTACTGTGAATCCAGTGGATGTGAAATCACAACATAATGCCGACCATGTATAATGAAGGAGCTTTTATCATCACTTCTAAGCCATTGTGTTCCATAGAGAGAAGACACACAATACGGGGCAACCTATCTCATGCACCACTCAGGAAGAAGGACTATGAAGCCTTTTTGAAATGCAGTAAATTCAGCTTTGCCATGTAGCTAATAAAAAAAAAAGGGTATTTTATTTGTTTTCCCACTGCTGTAGGTCTACACCACATCTTGTTAAGACGATCCTTCCCTCACGTATCGGTTACAATAGTAACAATGTCAACATTGAATGTAATTCTGAGAATGTAGTCACAATGGGACGGTGGGATTGTTCCAAGGGGTGGGGCATATTCCGCTTTCGGATGGGAAACGAGGAAAAAAAAAAAAAAAAAAAAAAAACTTTGCAAACTTACGCGGCAGCGGAGACAATGAAGAGCTGATTAAACAGCAGATACGATTGTCCGGAGGAAGAGGCAGAATTCGTTTTGTACCATGTTCCCCTCAGCCCCGCCGCGCACCCTACCCCCACTTCCACAAACACATCCAGGCCCCGGGACGCGCTGTCCCAACACGGTACAGTTACACATAAAAGTTGCTCTCCACCATTGACTTTTTTTTTTTTTTTTTTTTTTTTCAAATGAGTGATCAGAGCGGCATCGACATCCTTTACTGTAGTACACACGCACAAATACTACGAAATAAAACCCCAGGCGTCCAACATGACAGGACCGGGCGGTACGTACCGACCCACAAACACAGACCGCGGAGCACGGCGGCTCCATACGCGGCGTTTTCACGCAACGAAGTCTGAAGTTAAATTCAGTACGTTTCGCTTTTCAAGGACACTGCAGCTCACTGTCACAAGCCCCTTTTTTTCTGCCGCGACAGACACGGGCGTGTTGCCCTGCAGGGCGAAACAATCCCAAAATGAGGGGGGAACCCGAAAGCGTTTACCTTTTTGCTGTTTCTGCTGTTATAGCCGTTGTATGGGTTGATTCCTGCCCTTGGCGGTACGGAGAGCAGCATTTTTCTCGGCGCTATGTCCGGAGCGGCGAGCACAGCCCAGGCTGCCAGCTGACGTCAGCAGCTGGGGAAGTGAGTGCCTGGAGTCCCGCTGCTTGACTGCGAGTGGTGCTGCTGCTGCTGCTGCAGCAGGACGGGGGGGGGGGGGGGGCCCCCGCGGGGCCCTGGGGTCGTTTTGGGGGCCCTCCACACGGCCTACAGGGGGGTCCGCAGGGAAGAGGGGGATTAGCTCGAGTTCACTCACCGCACACTGTTGTTTCTCTCGCCGGGGGAGGATGTGGAAGAAGAACTCAAATTCAAAAAACGTCTCAAAACTGTGACGAAACCAGGTTATGGCGTGCTGTGTTTTTGTTTGGGGGGTCTTTAATTGGCTCCTTGACCCCACTTCACTTCATTAGAGATATTCATTTTGTCTTGGCTTTGTCGCCTTAAACAAGAAATAAATCATAATCACTTTTATTTGCATTCAAATATCACAGAAAAAACCTTAAACTTTATGCAATATCTTATATGATATGACATCACATTGGGCTATACATTTACAATATCCTATAGCTACTATTGACTATGACATATTTAACTCATTATAGGTATATAGCCCCTGCAAAGATACATTTTTGTAGCTATTTTTTCGTATAAATAAACCAACTTTGCTTAAACACAGGGCTCAGTCGACATCATTTTAAAAATGTGAATACAAATCTCCCAATGGTTTAAGCCAACATACAAAACTACTAATTTCAAAGAGTGTAAGGCCATTCATGATGGAACATGCCAGACAATTTCAGCGTGACATTGTTTTTGCTCTGTATTTAATGCCTCCTCTTCAAAAATATTGGATCCGCGGAACAATGCTAAAAATGCTGATGACAGCATTAAGACTCCTTATCTGTGTTAATACTACAACACTTTTGCCACTTTGCTCATAGATATTTGCTACACAAACAATAAACAAGCTGTAACAAGTACTATTCCCAATAAACGTATTTGAACATGACATTTCAGACAGTTCATAAAGCAAAGCCAGTCTTTATTGGAGCACTTCCAATACAAAGATTAATTAATCAGTAACAATTCTTTGCTTTCTATTTAATGGCTTAACAACACAACAGAAAAAGATTTATGAACAATCAAACTTTGCCAAAGAGCAATGAGTGCCGAAGTGTATGTCACAAATCATTCTGCACAGCCAGTATTGTTTTCATACATATCTTCTTCAATCAGCTGCTCCAAAAAGGAAAGGAAAAGATATACCGGATGTTTCTATAATGAACGTCCATGAGAAAGCCCCCCCCATAATAGACAACATTAGATTAGTGTCCCAGACCTATTCAACAGGCCAAGAAATAACTGAATAGAAACAATGACATCATTAAGGTTTTCCTTCACCACAGCCTCTTCTGCTCCAGTCGTCCCCTCATCAGTACCTTTAACATACAAATGTCGCCCTGGGGATGAATAAAGTATCTATCTATCTATCTATCTATCTATCTATCTATCTATC